CCCCACATTTTAAACCATCTCAGGGACTACGCTACCTAACTTAATTCCTTCTTACTTTCTCCTCATGGTTTAAGTAACTTCTTGCCCTATACACTGGGAGTAAGTAAAGTTTGGATAAAGCTGCTACAGGGTCTCTTCGCATCTGATCTTTTGATCATCTTCATGCATCATTTAAGAAAGCACAACCACCACCCGCACAGGAGACACTACATCATCCTTCCTTGCTGAACCACTGAGATATGGCTGTTTCTCCACATCTCCTCCATCCAAGAGAAAAAAAATGCTTAAAATTATTACTAGATTTGACACAGAAATCACAGCAGTATGCAAAAAAAGAACACGTCAGGTGTTATCCCACCAATTTTATTATTTATCTATCCAGTCCCTTCTTTTAAAAATAATTTTACGTTGGAGGAAAGTGTTACCCTTTTGAAATAATGTTAATTGTGCTACTGTTTTCTCTAAGATGGCTTTGTTCAATTGATTGCTTAAATTACTGCTTCCCATGACAGCTTTTCCTGAAGGATATATCCTGTAACAGTAACTTTCACACTGCTTCTTCTAGTTATGTGATGCCTGTTTATAATGTCCACAGCCATTATATGTGCTTTTTTTTTTCCCTAGATGTCAATGTGTAACATTAAAATCTACTGGAAAATTCCCTCCCTCCCCACCCATGCTGTTATGAGGATTCCCTTCTCATTTTCACTGTTACACAGCAGTATTATTTACTGAACAGATTTTGTGTGTCTGCTCAGTCTTAGCACATGCAAAACACCATCCTCCTGTGAAGAGCTTTTTCCTTCCCCCTAGTGATGGGGCATTATGGCAGTATTCACTACCAAACTCAGTTAACTGGCAGATGAGGAAAAAACCCCAATTCAATTGGAGGCTAACACCAGTATAACCAAGTGCACTTCATACATAACTTGAACTGGGGAATCAAGACATGAAGGTCTCTTCAGATGGCCACTAAAATCATTGCCTGTGATTTGTGACAGACACGTCTCAAACTGTATCTGGAGTTCAGCCAAAACCAGCCTACAAGATCATTCTTTGTGAAAAGCAACGAAAACCCTGTGCAACAGGCTACCGGGAATGCAACTCCCCTCTGATTGCCCTTTCCATACAAGCAGCACACAGAAACTGGAGAAAGGGTAATGTACTTTGGCCGTTCCAATAACATACATGCAGCATCCCAGATAACAAGCTCTTTGGCTCTGATGAAGGCCAGTACCAGAAGGCTGGGTCCATGAGCAACAGCATCAGCCCATCCATGGCCGGAGACCGGCATTCACAACAGCTGAGGAACCGGAAACTTCTAAGGACTCAGTAGCTCAGAGAAGGGAAGTGCTGTAGGATTTTTATGAGCAAAAACAAAAATACCATCAAGTCCTTTTGAAAGTTTTGTCCCTTCTGTTGTAGCTTCTTGAGAAGCAGAGAACTGCACTATTACAAGACAGTCAAAATTAGCCAAGTTTAGCAGTCTTGGAATCAAAAGCAAAGTTGACCTTGTGACTCAAGCACCACTGCCTGTAAGTGACTCTCATCCAAAGCCAAAACTTAAGAGATATAAAAGGTCTCTTTGCTACAGCTTCACTTAGGAAGATAACATTTATTAGCTGTAGTAGACTCATTTCTCCATATGGTGTAGCCCTTTGAGAACAAGGCTGAACCACAGTATGAACTTAAGGATTTAAAAATACTCCATTTCTAATCATCACTTCTATCAATCTTCATTCGGCATCTTGTTAATGTTTCTTTTGTGGCTGGTCATTATTGTTCAGAAGACTCAGATGCCTACAACCTTTAGCAGAATCTCTTTCCTCTAGGTCAGAATTTAGTTCTTACACCAGAAACGAGTGGGTTGACTACACAAGAGTTAAGTCTTGAGCAAAAGGGTGAACACAGCAGAATAAACACTTGTAAGAAGGTAAAAGAAGGATGGGATGGGAGTGGTGGAATAACATCCTAATAAACAAAGCAAGAAGATTTTTACCTCCTCCTTTAAAAAATATATTTTGAAACCAGAAGGAACCATTATAAGTTTTAACTACTGCTGTTAAAATACCAGTGGAGGACATTTCACCCAAACAGTGTACACAGCCACCACTTACAGAACAATCCAAGTTGTTACTGTTTAGCTTTCTAGATTTTTGTTCAATTACTTTTGTCTGCTGGTCTCTCCTTAATATGTTTGGATTATTTTTTTATATTTTTCCTCCCTCCAACTTGATTCCTAAATTAACATCTGTATTTTGATAATTCTTTATCCCCTTTTTACTGAGGTAAGAAAAATTATAAAGCCACAAGGATTCCATGACTGGTTTTTGGAATCATACACAAAATAGCAACTGCCAACTGCGGCACTGAATACCTGGAAACTGAGAAGGCTAAAAATATAAGCTATTCAATGTTGAACATGTTTGATCATGCAGTATCATCAGTTAGGAATTGATTCAGATATACTCTTTACAGATGTAAATGTAAACAAGCAAACAAAAAAAATCATATAATCCTTTATGGAATAAAAGTAGGATTACTCTGAAATAACTCTTCTACTTTAAAGTGCACAGCAAACATATTATATTCCAGAACAACTTTTACCTGTAAATCAGCCTGTATACCTTTAATCACATACCCTTTACAGACGAAATAATTTAAAAAAAATAAATTTTAAGTATTATACTAATATTCACCCAATCTTTTAAACATTTTAAACAAAAGCTAGTATTGAAAAAAACCAGTAGCTAGGATATGTAATTTGAAGCTGTATGAAAACCAGAAATGTCCTTAAAGATAATATGAATCATTTAGTCAGAGCCACACTATACAGGAAAAGAGGCCTCCCCTCCCCATTCTTCCCCCACCCCTAAAGACAACTTCTAGAAGACACTTTTAGTTTTGCTTTTTTAATAAGCCCACGAAAGTCAAGAATTTATAAAAAGCACATGCAAGTCCATTTACATTAACAGAGCAGCAAGAAGCTGCAAACTTTCCTTAGTACAGGAACTATGTAAGATTGGAAAGTATTAAATAAATATTTAAGACTGTAAGTACTAACTTAAACAGGTCACTGGCACTGTGACAGCTAAGGTGACAAGAGCAGCTTTGCTGACAGCTGAAGTCCTGGTTTGTTTGTGGGGCATAGGGATGCATGGGGCATGACATACAAAACCAATTAGAATTCCCTAGGGCTTTGGAAAGAACAGCATTTATTTATTTATTTATTTATTTTTACAATTTTTGAAGTGTTTTATAATTGCAGCCTAGATTCTGGGTCTCATCTCTCTTCTGAAAGAGGGAATGTAAGTGAATATAAATGAGATCAGTAAAAGAGATGTTGGAAAAAGGTGCAACAGTCCCACCTTTGAATGCCATGAGGAAAAGAAATAGATTCTTGGACTGTCTGCCCTTTTAACTCCAGTCTGTGAAAGGCCAACCAACCAGTTATTGAGACAACGAGGCATCACTTTTTGCAAATCTCTACAGAGCATTTAACACTAAGCAAAAACAAGAGGAAAAGCCGTTTTTCAAAGTATCTTAAATACTTATTTTAGGAAACCAAAGCAACAAGTTTGCATTCTTGCTTCACCATTCATCTTGCAATATTTGTACTTTCACTTGAAGGTACTTACATACTGAACAAAAACCTACAAGGAGTGGGCTTTTCCTGTTGTCAGTAGCTCATTGACAGGAAGGGCATTAGGCATATTTAACTGTTCCTAGTTTAAGCCATACATTAATTTAATATTGCTGCAATAGTGTGCAAGAATGTGGCTTTCTTCTCAAAATCTATCATTTTTTTCCCCCTTAAGACTTCCTTATATAGCACACTAGCACCTTGAAGACAGATCCAATGTAGTACTTGGGTTTGCTATAGAAAATCCAATCCTTCCTTCCTTGGAAGAAAATAGGTATTGGAACTTGTCTGACTGTCAGGAAGACTGAGATTTTTCCCTCTCTACAGAACAGGTGCGACCTGTAACTTCTGTACATGTTCCAAAAGTGATTATGTTTAGTAAAACATAGTGAAACCATTGCCTCTGACTAACTAACACCTGAGTCTTTGCCAAGGTATAAAATTTTAAATGCTAACGAGGAACTGGAAAGTTTCTGATATGAATTACAGTGAGACCCATGGACATTTCATGGGATTTCAATTATCAGTCCACAACCTGTGACTAGTTACTGTCACCTCAGTGGTACGAAATACTGTACCACGCAATTGCCAGTGGTGTATGGGACTGTAACCAAACCCTTTACGGTGTAAATGAGTTTTTAGTAATATATTAAGTTTTCCTAAATTACCAACTGTCAGTCATCTCAACATCCTGCCAGGCTTTCAGTATATTTGTGATTAAACCTCCACAGCAGTAGAAGTATTTCTCCAAGTTAATTAGTGATGGAAGTTACCCTATATACACTCTATATGCTAGATGCTGGGAACAACAAAAGCACCAATATTAAAGCAAAGTTCTCACTACTGATGAAAGCGTCATACACTGATTTTGACGCACTTGTTGGTACAAGTGAATCTCTCATGATGGCCCCCATCTTTTTATTTTTTTTGTTTGTTTTTGATGGTACGCTGTGTGCCCCACAACCATTCCAGTAACAAAGAAAATAATGGAAGAAATTCTTGGAATTTCACAGAAATCAAATAAAAGTCTTACAACCATGGCAACATCCATGGTTCTTATTGCAATAAAAAGACAGTAGGGTATGCTTCATCCCATTTATATTAAGATTTCTTTTAAAGAAAAGGTGCTGATATTTTGTATTGTTTCACCTATGAGGTAGTCGGCACTTCATATAAATAGTGTAAATTAGAAATTAAGTTAGCTCTGAGCTTGCAACAAGCTCTGCATCACTGACTGCTCAAGTCAATTATTAAATCAGGAATACAAAACAATTCCTCATTTTAAAAGACAAACAGTAACTCCTGGAACGGAGAGCAGTGGCCATGCACATGAACAAGTGCCTTCCCCTGACAGAGGTCAGCGGAATTCTGGCTTTAGCTTCCAGACACCTTCACCATTCGGGTTCCTGTGGAAGGTGCAGAGATTGCGGAGAAGTTCTCTAAAGACGCAGGACTGTGCTACTGGCAGTTTGGACTCAAACTCGTTCAGTAGTTCCCGAGTACTGGCCTCGCCATCCACACGGGCCTGGAACGCTATGAAGTTACGCATATCCACGAGCAGTTCATCATATTCTGTTGAACCTGGGGCTGGGGTGGGTGGTTGCTGATGATTTTCATCTCCCTCATTCACTCTCTGTTGTGGTAAAAGAAGGTGGTTTCTTGCCCTCATCTTAGCAAGTAAAGATGATGAGTCTAGTGCACTGGATGATGATTCTCCTGATTTTCCGTCAAAGTGCCCATCGGAATTAGACTTCTTTACCTTTTCTTTCTTTACTGTATCTGCATCCTGCAAATAAGCATGCAGACTATGGAGAAATTTGTATTTTGAGATCCACAGAATCTATTAAACAAAATCTGCCTGCTGTTTAGACTTCGATGACAAAGTTGAACACTGACAGGGAGGTTGGACTAGATGATCTCTAAAGTCCCTTCCAGCCCATGCCATTCTATGAGTCTATGATTCTATGATCAACTGAGAAGCTAGTATTTCACCTGATACACACAATAAAGAGGTAACATGCTGGTTTCAACTTCAGAACTTCAGAAACGAAAGGAAAGCATTGCTGGTCTTCAGAAGATAACCAGATCATATTGCAATTTGTGACTGCTGTATCTAATTAGACTTGATCGAGATGAAAATCAGATTTATGGGTGACTAAAAATTCTAGAATTCTATGTAATCATATGACAAGTGGGTATGAGACATCTACACAGTATAAATGAGATTCGTTGCATAAATTGGAACATTTTGCATATATCAGCTATTAGAAGAGAAATGTTAGCTTGTGTCTCTTACCTTGCACTTCTTCACAGGTGATGCGCAAGTGGAACGTGATGAAAGCAGCATGGGGTTTCTTTTTTGACCAAATCGACTCCTAAAAACCAACAAATAAATTTACTCCATAAAACTTTCTTCTCAAAATTATTTGATAGTTTTGTGAAAGACACTGACTGGGTTTGTATTTCAGAGTTTTCAGAAGTCCTCTGTCTACCTTTATCTCCTCTACTGTGCAACCATAAAGCTTTCTTTGTACTTGAGAATGGACTTCTATGCTTGTAATATGCCTTCATGTTTTTATTAAATAAAACCCATGAAACTCCACTTTGATACAAATTACTGCAAATACCAAGTGCAAAAAAAGGAGAAATCCATAGCATCCTAAGGAACTCTTCTATTTTTGGAAAAGCAGTGCGAGACCTGAACTTACTTTATTCCTGATGGTGCACCTGAAAAACCAGTTGTGCCTGTCCAGGTTGGCACACCAGAAGCAGCTCCTAAACAGCGCTGTCGAGAGACTTTTAAGGCTCTTAAGGCATCCTGTGCCACTCTGTTTGCTTCTGCTTCCACCAGCACATGATCTGCACTAGAAGCTTCCATAATGGCATCATGCTTCATAACACTGTGTACCCCTAAAAACCAGAAGATACAAGATAAAGTGACAGAAGACATTTGTTAATTTACATGGTTATCTGTAAAATTAAATATTCATCATTTAAGTGAATGCCACAATCACATTTTTCCTTTTTCAGGCTGATTATATTCAGCACTTCAGTACAGTAATTTCTAATGAGAGAATCCCCTCTATTGGCTAAGCAATCAATTTGACCATAAACCACTTCTGGTGTGCTGAGGTCGTTATTCACAACAGACTTGGCAATTATGTGGGTAAATCGATCGTTTCTACTCCTATGGACAGGACAGACAGAGTGAAACCCTTGTATGAATGAAGGTTTGATACATCCTTATTTCCAGAAGTAACACTGCATTATTTCTATATCCAGAAGTGGTTTCTGGAAGGCTGCAGATCTCTCAGAAATGTCTGTGCCAATGTAATTAGTACATTCATAACCAGAGCATTTCAGTGATGAACATTTTAATGTTTCAGTACAGTAACAGAACAGATAACACTTGTAGCTCTAACCATCAGAGTAAAAGAACTGCTCTTTCCCAAAAGTTTTATATACCTGTTTAAATAGTCAGATATTGTTGAGCCACCAAATAACAACAGTTACCTGACTTTTTGAAAAGTTTTTCCAAGACATAATCATCAGTTTTCTTTGAGTCTTCCTCCTTCTCTTCACTATTCTCCCTTCTGTATCGCTTTTGTTTCACTAGATGAGGAATGCGCTCTCCTTCAAATTTGGCATCTTTGTGATGTTTCTTCTTAGATTTATCTTTGTGACTCTCATGTGACAGCATATCCACCCTGTGCTTTGTTTTTGAAGTACATTTATAATGAGTATTATCTAATTGCCCATCTTCAGCTTTAGCCACCTGCTTTTCCCAAGAGCCAGCTGCACCACATGTAAGGCTAAAATCTCCCTCGACATTTGCATTAGCTGCTCCATGTACTTCAGCCACCTCAGCACTCAGACATTTGGCATTCTCTGAAGACCCTGCATCACCTGGCAATGGCAGGGACATAGATTTGTCTTCTTCCAAGCTTTCCTCCTTGCTTTTATTCAATGAATTTATAGTAGTAGCAGCTTCTGTATTTTCTTTTGCATAGCTATTTTCAAAGGCTTCCAAACTTCCTTGGACTTCCTCACTGGTCTCTATTGCTTTAGAAGAACAATTTGTCATGTGGGTGGTTGTGTAGGAATTGGATGATCTGCTGTACTTTGGTGAGCTGCTTTCTGTAAGATGGAGATCACCTTTAGAAGTGTCATTATCAGGTTGCTTTTCAAGTTTCTGTTTCAAATGGCGTTTTGGAACTTGAACTTCTGAACCAGTACCTGAGGGATGAGTGAAATAGTATCCATTTATCAAATACTCTGAACATTTTTGCATTTAAACAAATAGAAAAACCATGTACCTGCAAAAATTGCACTTGTTTCAGTTTTCTGAGACACATCTGGGCTGCTCAGAGTAAAAAGTTCATACAGGTCATTGGATTTGAAAAAGCGCCTCTGCTTAGGGTCTTTCAGCACTCTGTTCGTTAAAAACTGTTTGAAGATTTGCCTGAAAAAGAAAAAAAAGTACTCTGTGCATGAAACAATGTCTAGCTATGTTTAAGTACTGAACACAGTACTTAAACAGAAAACTGTATAAGCACAAATGTTACTCTGCAGGACAATTAAGCAGTGGGAAGATGATGTTAGTTTCCAAAAGACAATCTTGAGTTAGTAACTTTCAACCAACCAACTTAATTGTTAAACACAGGGATTTATAGTTTTGCAACAACCCCATAACACAACAGGTAACCACCATCTCGCAATATCCTATGAGGCAGCCCTTAGCTTAAGCAATAAATAACTTCACAGCATTTTTTTTTTCCCCCATTAGCATCGAAAAGCTTGCATATATTACAACAAAACTATCAGAAAGCTCCTCAAAGGAAAACAAGAGCTTGTTAAAATGACAACATTTTAATGGCTCAGTTGGAGGAATCAAAAGCAGCAGAGTAGCTCAGTCTGATGGCGATGACCGGATGGCAACCACTGGAAAGGGAAATCAGACTTGTGGCTGAGAGCAAGGGAAAAAAAGAACCTTTCTGCAGCCAACTGAAAGAAACAAATCTGGGGAGATAACTAAGCTGTAAGAAATCTTCGAGTATTGGTAACTCTACTTCTATGACATGTTTGTACTACATAGCTTTTGATTGCCAGTTCTAGGCACTATTTCCCTGTACAAAACCGACAGCTGAAAATCAGTTCTCAAGAAGTAATTTTATCAGGGTTTGGCTCTGCTGGCATTAAGCAGGTATATTACTTTTAAATCGAGCTGACAAAAACTACATCCAGCTGCTGCAGTGCACTGATCAGAAGGCTTTCTAAGAATTAACTGAACTTCATAATTTCCTGCAAGCATGCTAACATATTTGCAGGGAAGAAAACACAGGCAAAGAGAAGGCACAGCTTGCTTAATATTCAAAGGCCACTGTGCTGTTCTGGAGATAAATGAATTTCTGATGGCTGTCCTGACCCTCAGAGCCCACTTCCTTGATGTGGTCAGTGTTGTTCAAACAGAAGTATGCCAGAGGGACATGAGCCAATCAAAAGCGGATGCTTTGTGTCCATGTGGTAAAATAGATTTAAAAAAAAAAAAGCATTAAATTGCGGGTATTTCATTATTTAGAGCTTTTCATTCATGTGCATTTTCAAAAAGGATATTCCATTTCTAAAGAGTAATGCCTAGACAGAGGATTCCCATGTACATTCATTTGGAACTCATATGAGTGAAGCTATTTCCAAAGAAAGCTGAATGGGAAAACAAACCAAAAAGATTTCATTGATTTTGAAATACAAGCACTTTAAGGCTTTAGCTACATTGTGGAATAAATAACGTGAATATGACTGGTGGTTCTTGGGATTTAATTCACTTTGTAATGATTTGGGAATGAAATCAAATTAGGTTTGTGGAGTAGTAAATGTATGTATGTATCACATGCATCTTTATATATCCTAAAGACAATATAAAGAACTTGTTGACTTCAGTTTCCACTTCAGACTTGTTGAGTCTCGTATTCTGAGTAAAGGGCTCCTTTTTTCCTGTCTATGCCCCTTACTCTCTTATTTACAGTGAATTCTGGATGTGCTGGACACAGCTGCTGGAACAGATTGATGATGTATATTTAGCAAGTAGGTCTTGGAGCTAGAGAGGCAGCAGCGCAGCCCTGCAGCTGGGAGTCTAATATTAGAAGGCAGCCCATTCCTCAGTAGAAATTTTTAAAAAGTTTTCCATGATTTCCATCAAGACCAAGGTTGGGGATTACAAGCCACAGGTGCACTTGCACAGGTGTGTCACTGTTACACGATCTCAGATGCACTGCCTGAGTTTATGGTTGTATCCAAGAAATTTTTCTGACTGACCTGTGGTATATCTTCTCTTCAATAGTACCTGCCGTGAGAAGCCTGTACACAGTCACCTGTTTCTTTTGGCCTATTCTCCAAGCACGTTCCCGAGCCTGGAACACAAAAAGGTTTGGTTACCACTCATTAGCCTCTTAGACATATGTTTGACAGAAAGCTATCAATACCACTGTCTCAAACAGAGTTTGGACACTTAGTTCAGGAAGTTACATAGCTGTGGTATTTCTACAGCATTAGGACAACTAACTCAACAGGAGAGGAAAACAATTTCGTAAGTTTACATATGTAAAAAGACAAGTCTCCAATTGTACCAAGAAATCTATACAAAAAAATCTAAAAAAATAAATTATGTTGCAGTTAGAACTCCTAACTGGGATATGTACACACATTTCCTTTGAACTTTTCTTCTTTTGCTTAACTGAAAGCTCTCCTACAAACCTCTTGAACCAATCACTAAAATAGATCACTCCAGGGCAGATTACACACTTGCAGTTCTCAAAGCTATGCAGGATTTCCATTAAAAAAATGATGTCTTCCTCTCAAACATGTGAAGTCCGTATACTGTTAAGGGATCTGATAAACCAGAGTCTCATCACACCATCAGATAAAGAACAACTTTGTTAAGGTATTGGCTTAACAGCAGCTTCTAAGGGCATAGCTACATACCATTATTTAGTGACAAAGTCAACTCAAGCAACACTTGTTCTCCTTTTCTTAACCTGCATTGCCATCATGAACTGGCACAACTACTCAACAGATTGCACAGGTGTACTCTCTCTTCAAAAATTCTTCCAGTATTTTTATTTATTTAAAATAAAGCAGGCCATTTTAACTGTTTGTTTGGCTACACTCTAAACAGGCGATATGAATCGATGACATTAAAGAGTGGTAAGGTATAACAGCATAAAGGGGATGTGGTGGGAACCACTTAGATTGCCTTTGCCACAAGAGTAATCATAACGCAGAACCGCACCCTAAGTGAATGCTGCTGGGAACAGCAACTTAGGGAAGGGCAACGTAGTGCTTTAGCACTGTCTGAGGAGATAAATGTCACTCTATCTTCAGTTCTGTTTCAGCTTATTTCATAAATGGAATGGAACAAACCAAACTCACCTGTGTGTCTGTACTGGGATTCCAGTCAGGATCATAAATAATAACCCGGTCAGCACCAGTCAAGTTAACTCCAATGCCACCAACACGAGTTGTTAGAAGAAAAATAAATATGGATTTGTCCTATAACACAAGAGAGAATTTGCTAATGCAAAGATTACCAAAATAAAAGGTAACTTTTTTTTAATTTCCTGGATTCTTTTATCAGCATTATTTGCAAAGATGCAAAGGGAGACAAGAGAAGGAACACATTTCTGTGTTTAATATCTCTTTTGACAAATAAAAGTAATTTATTTCATTTACTGTTGTCCAATAAAATTTCTTTTCCCCCTTTTTAACTGCAGGTTTTTATGATTAGCAGAAACCCCAACTTAAGAATGAAAAAAGCGTTGACTTCTTTCCCCTCTCACAAAGGAAGTCGTTTCATTTGACTGAACTCTCCAGCTTTGTATCTGAAATCTGAAATCGTATATTTAAAAACAGACCAAAAAGGAATGCAAGAACTCAGCCATACTCAGGAACAGGCATTAGTGTGTGCAATGCAACATCTCACCTCATTGTATCTTGTTATAAGGGGCTGCCTGGAAGCTATAGATGTGGTGCCATCCATCCTGAGGTAGGAATAATTTCTGTCTTTCACAAAGACTTCAAGTATCTGCAGCATCTGTTGTGATGGAAATAAAAATAATTAAATCCAGATGTAAAGACTAAGCAAATATCTGATTAAGTCATAAGAGTTTCTGGTACTAACTGCAGTGCCAATCAAACAGAACTTGTGAATCTTAAATGAGTAGAAAATTTATTAGCTTAGGTACTTGGGGAAAAAAAGAGTAGTTATTTCCCCGCTGAACACAAGTGGAGTGTTTGTGCTTGGTTTGGGAAGCCCAGAGCCATGGTCTCAAGACAGTTAACCAGGTAAATGGTGCAGCATTCCAAGGGAATTCATGGAAGCAGGACAAAATCGTGAACACACAGGGAAAACAAAGGAAGGTTACTGTCTCTGCTACTTGCCCAAAGCACATCATTCTGAGGATGAGATGTGCACATGCACTAAACAGAGCCAGAAAAGTGACTCTGCAAGAAAAAGCAAACTGAGTTTGCCCTGAAACTATGCAGTAGGGACAATAAATACATCACAGCTGCTTCAGTCCAGTATTATACGGGTATAACTGATACAGGCTTTGACCCAGTACACCAAAATCGGGCAACACTGCCACAACACCGTGTTGTTTCCTTAGAGCTTACTGAGCTTGGGAACTGGTCTCCAATTATTCCAAAGACAATAGTCCTTTTAGTACTTTTTTTTGCCAAAAAGATGTTTATTTCCCCGAGAAGAACATTACAAAAGGTGGTTCTAATTACAAGGTTTGTTGGGACACACACACACTCACTTTTTTAGGTTTAGCAGTAACTAAAACCAATTAGCTCACCTTACCTGCCTTGACTGAGTGAAAAACAGCACTCTGTGACCTTGCTTGTGCCATATTTTCAGCAAGGATTCTACCACTATCATTTTTCCAGAACGTTTCCAGTATCCAAACTGATCTGCTTCCTCTATGTCAGCATCTGGTACACCCTTCAAAATCTTGGGACCACCAGAAAAGAGGTCAGGGTGGTTGCAAATCTTTCTTAAAGTTACTAGTCCTGAGAAAATCTAAAGAATACAAGAGAAAAAAATATTTTTATTTTCTTGACAAATACTTTTAACTATATGAGTTGTGTTTAGGAAAAACAAACAGCAATGGATGAATCTAGTAAACATCAAGAAGTTTGTTTCTAATTGTGGTTTGCTCTTTACAGAAGTCAATGGACATTAATAATTAATGAAATATTTTAGGAAAAAACAGTACAAAAGAAGGTCAATGAAATTTATGGTCTTGTGAGCCCATTCTGGTGACAATGGTAAGATTTTTACATTAGCAAAAGCAAGCCCTAACTGTAACTCACATCAAATTTTTCCTACTTAAAAGGAAAAATTCCACTAAGTTTGTTACTTGAAGTTACTGTGTTCTTCCTTACAGGCTCTGCCATGTCAGCAGGTAACTTAAGATAGACCCTGAGGATAACAAGTGTACCCACCAGAATGCATGGCAACAAAAACCAGATAAGTAAACGTGTTTAAACAAATGTATAAAGCTGAAAATTACCACTTTTGCTGCCATGTTAGAAGGCAAAACTGTTCAGTTATTTACTCAATAATATTACAAGTATTATTTATTCTTCTGATATAATAGGAACCCATAAAATGAACTAGACTGAAACAGTGAATCCTTCAATCTTCTACCACTGCAAGTTGGATAAGCCTGCTGATAATTTATGGTTTGTTTGTATGTTGGGGTTTTTGTTTTTCATCTGGGATTCACTGCTGCCATCACAAAACATCTAATAAAAGCATTGACATTTACTGTTCAGAAATTTCAGAACTCTACAAAATATGATAGCCCATTCTGTAACATCTTAGAGAAATTTCTCCAGATGTTCTTGTACAAGCCATCTCCTGAAGATCAAGTTCCTTTAAACAATTTTCATTGTCATAACTAGAATGGCTAGGCACTTGAAAAACTTGGCTGCTACACCTTTGCAAGATCTGGAAAAACAGAGAACTGCAAACAGTGATAAGGTCAACACCTGCTTTGTATGACACTACATTATACATAGCTGTAGTGGCCATGCAACTAACTGGAGCCACTGGGGGTGAGTGGAGAAAGATTTGCACTCTTCACAAGATGAGGAAACGTGCAAAATTACACATTATAAGCAAGACATATTACTTCTTCTCTTACAAACAGTAGATCTGTATCCTGCAGCTAAAATAGAAGTGAAAAATATCCACTGTGTGCATACAAAAGTCAAATGGAGCAGATGTGTGCAGGGTGGGAGTCACAGGGAACAGCAAACTCTTCACACAGATGACAGTAGGCATTTGAAATCGTGTTTCAGTTACTGCTGTTATCCTGGCCACAGCCATTTCAACACTTATGTTGTGGGGATGGAGACAAAAGATCTTGAAGTGACTAGGGAGATAACAGCAAAGATGCTTGCTATTTGCTCTGTGTTAAGACTCTGTGAAATCACCAACTGTTGCATCACATCATACCTGAACTGTACTCTCAGGACAAATTACTCTTCTCCTTTGCTTCACTTTTGAAATTGGTTAAAAGCATGCATACAGTTACCTACAGCAGATCATTCAGCAAGCCGTCATTTGTCCCAAGATCACAAACACATTGTGAAGCCCATTCCATTACTACTTTTATCTGGTCATGTGGATCGCTAACTCTATATATTCCGTGGAACATTTCTGAGAACAAAAAGCCAACATCCACAAAAGCAGAACTGAGATGAGTGTGTTTTCTTCCCTTTCTGCTCAGAATCCGTCTAGAAGAATGTAAAAGCCAGTTCATTATCCATCAAACTCTACCTGTTATTAACCTTAATTAATGCCAACCTGCATGTCTCCGTTGAGAATCTGGTAAACTTCTTTAGAGTTGATGAAATTTTGATAGACTTGACGCTGTTCATCTGTCAAACGGCAAAAGAGGACCTACCAAAACAAAGAAATGAACCACTGAAGGCCAACCTGTAAAATTCAAGTAGAGGGAATTTTTGAAGTTTACATTGTGCTACAATAAAGCTTCACAGATGTCTGACATATTGTAATAAAAGATACTGCATAGAAATAAAAATCTTAGGATTTTCAGAGAATGAACAGAATAATTAAGATGGGTTTTCATGAGTTTTTCTGCACCCTTTCCCAGTTGTTAATTTTTCCCCTCAAATTGCTTTAGTTTTGGAAGCATTGCCATTTTCCAGTTTTAATGAGCTAACTGTGCAATGTTAGTATCCTCTCAAAGGTATGTTTATAGGAAACGCTTTCCACTGTGTGTCTGTTACGTCCCTTACAACTTGTAAATTCTTAGTATCTCAGGGGAAGGTTAAGTACACATAATCTGTTCTGTCATTACCCTTTGAGTATCAGCATCTAACAATTTTTCAGATGGCACAGTGGGCTAAAATGGAACAGAACTTCCTCATATTCTGCAATGTACCCAACATTATGTCACGTCAAACTTACACAGTGCCCTTTGATTGACAAGAACAAAAATCAAATTTGTTTCATCTGTTTATGATTGCATTCTTTACAGTAGTAGTCTAGACTCTTTAAACTATACAGAAATTCAATATGTGATTAAAATAAGATCATTAGACTGCACAGCAGAAATGGAGTACGGCAAACTCATTTATTATATACCTTGCAGTACTATCTTACAAAGACTAACACATTTACTTCTCTTTTAGAGGAGGCAGGAAATAAGAGTGAGGAGAGGACAAGAAAGCCTGAAACACTGAAACCCAAGTGGCAGAATAATCTAATAATTACCACAAATGAGTATTTGTAGGAATTTCAGTTTTCTAAATAATCCTTTCAACCTCCTGTACTTTGAATCAAAATGTTTCCTAAAAAATACAGAATTAGAATGGTGTGGGTTGGAAGGGACCTTAAAGAACATCTAGTTCTACCCCTCCTGCCATGGGCAGAGACACCTCTCACTAGACCAGAGTGCTCAAAGCCTCATCCAATCTGACGGTAAACACTTCCAGGGAGGGGACTTCCACAACTTCTCTGGGCAAACTGTTCCGGTGTTTCATCACCCTCACAGTAAAGAATTTCTTTTTAGTATTTAATCTAAATCTACCCTCTTTCAAACTGTTACCCTTAGTTCTATCACTACACTCCCTGATAAAGAGTCTGTCTCCTTCTTTCCTGTAGACTCCCCATAAGAACTGGAAAGTCGCCATAAGGTCTCCCCAGAGTCTTCTCTTCTCCAGGTTGAACAACCCTAACTCTCCCAGCCTGTCCTCATAGGGAAGATGCTCCAATTCTGCTAATCATCTTCGTGGCCCTCCTCTGGACCCACTCCAGCAGGTCTGTGTCTTTCTTATGCTTGGGGCCCCAGAGCTGAACACAGGACTGCAGATGGGGTCAGACAAGAATGGAGTAGAGAGGAAGAATCAGCTCCCTTGACCTGCTGGCCATGCCTATTCTGATACAACCCAGGGTGTGACTGCCCTTCTGGGCTGCGAGCACACATTGCGGTCTCAGGTTCAGTTTTTCATCCATCAACACCCCCAAGTCATTCTCTGCAGAGCTGCTCTCAATCCACTCATCGCCCAGCCTGTATCTGTGTTTGGGATCACCCCAAGCCAGGTACAAAGAGGTTCCACCTCTTTGTAGAACAAAGTTTTAGATCAAAAGGCTAATTTTTAAAAGACTTATTAGAAGGTACAGGCCAACCAACTTCCAATATCAACCTTTTTACAGCAGGAAACAATGTTAAAGTTGTCCAAGGGATGCACCCTAGGGAACACCCCATAAGACACCTCCTTTGTGTGCACTGTGATCTAGGAAAGCTGCATTAAGCAGACCGGACTACACTTCATATATCCTTTGTTTTTCAGATGGAAGTGTACCTCAATACAGAACCCACAAGACTACGACCATTTAACAGTCAGAACACAGACGGAAAGAACACGCAACATGAAAGTTCTACATGTTTACTTAAAACAGCACTTTGTTGACTATTAGCACAAATTATTTCCAAATGTCCATGAAAGACTGGAGTTTGGGGAGGGAGAAGGCTCAGATCTAATAGTAAAGATATGCAAACCTGTTCATTCTTATCTGGAAGTGAAAGGCTCATTTTTACATCAGCCTTCATTCTGCGCAGCAAATAGGGGTTTATGGTGTCCCGTAACACACAGGCACATTTGTATGCAGTTTTTACCTGAAAAAGGAAGAAAAAGCAGAAGTTGTATTTTGGTTCTTGACATTAATTTTAGCAACAAGCAAAATTCTACAATTAGCAATATAAAAATCGTAATAAAATGAGACAGCTTGTGATTGCTACATATTCAAAACAACATGAATTGCAATAAAATTCATGTTAGCATCAATCATATTGAATAAGTCTTCCTCAGATACCACTAATTTATCTTTCCTAATTTCATGGACTTTTTAGACCAGAAATCAGATACTTCCTTTATAAATCAACCAAGAACTGAGCATAAATTTGCACAGAACCAAAATCCTCATGAAAAACTGCTAATATATATACTGAAGATCAAAAAGAAGCCTGCAGCAATGGTGGTTACTAGACAACAAGATTAGTGCCCACTTGAGACTATCAAAAAAAACCCCTCAGTACCAGAAAATCCCCATGATCACAGAAACTAAAGGTCACTCAGGCCTAAATGGAGCATATGGTTCTGTAATGGGTAATGGATGTGTAAGATGGGTATTAACTGTACATAATGGCCAAAACTCCCTTAATTTCTCTTAAAGCAAGACAAAGAATATAATAAATTATTGATATGTAAAAAACAAAATTGCATGTCCAATTTAGTAAATTAGTAAGCTTTAGACAAGTATTTAAACTTAAAAAGAACTTTATCAATGTATGTGTGCAAAACATCACAAAGAATATTTAAAAAGATACAAATTTATTAGCATTTATATGAAACTTAGCCTGCAGATTATTATGTAGACAATTTATCTATCAGCTAATTTGGAAAACGTTTAAGAAGTCATAAATACTGAGAACCACCACAGCGAAGTTTATTAGACAGACTTATTCAAAATAATATTTGAAACAATTTTTGCTTTCAAAATTAGTTTATGTACTTTCAGACTTTCAATACCTACTTAAGCTTTTTTTAAATGAAAACAGTTTTCAGTTTGGATTCCTCTACTGCACAATTTGCCAAAGCCTTACAGCAAACAGTAGAGTTCTATTAAAATACATCAGAATATGAGATGAGTCACCTTCCACCCTAATATGCTTATCTTTACTTCATACCAAAGAAGGGCTTCTAACGATTTACACTCCAGGGTTTTTGACAAGAAAATCTTGTGTATAAGCTAAACCCCTGTAAAAATGAACTGGTGTCATTTAATTGAATAGTTCTTTTCACACACAGAGCAGTATAACTCACACGAAAATCTCTTTTGGGTTAGTGTCTAGAGCATACAGCATGAAAGGTATTTAGAAGTCAGTTAAGAAAAAACGTAACAGCTTTCTTCAAGCAGTATTCAAGTAGTATTTTTCAAGTAGTATTCTTCAAGTAGTATTTTTGATGCATTTACCTGGACAGGAGAGGCATTGGAATATCCTCCCATGGTTATCGGAACAGAAAATTGCTCCATGAACACAGGCAATGTTCCCAGCTTCCCTGGGAATACAAAGTCAAAGAGGGACCAGAGCTCCTTTAGGTTATTTTGCATAGGAGAGCCAGACAAGATGATTCGATGGGGTGTGCGGAACTATTAATAAAACCCACAAAACGAAAGGTGAATTATTTTCATGGTTCATGGTGTAACCTGACTCTCACCTCAGAGGATATTCAATTTCACCATCAATGAATTCTCATTTTAAAACATGGTCTCATATTCCTGAAATAAACACAGTTTTCTGCAACATATTGTCTGTGAACTGTTAGCAGGAAATGAACACCAGCAATCTGATAGTTATCCCTAATGATAAATTACTACACAATTTAAAATTTCTCTACCATACTTCCGTAAATTCACTGATGTAAACTCATTAAAAACGTTAAGTAAATTAAACAATCAAATACAGATCATTGTAATTTATGCTTTTATTCTTTATTAATAGTCAAACGTGTATTTTAATGTGAAAGTAATAAAGCCTAGTAGATTTTGGAATCTCCCCCCAGAGCACTTAAAAAAATCTTTCATTTATTTTTTATAAAGTACCTGCTTGCATGCAAGTGTGACTGCAGCGTTTGGATTTCGAATTTTGTGACCCTCATCCAGAATCACATAATGCCAGTCATAGCTGTGGATGTTATCCTGCATCAGTCGAATGTATGAATAAGATGTAATTAAAATTCCATGGCATGAAGCAATCTCATCAATTAGTTTCACCTAAAAGCAAAAGGCGCATGCTGTCAGTAACAGTGAGACAGAAAACTCAGATCCTACAGGTCTGCTGTCCAAGCTGTGTAAAAAACATGTTTTTAAAAAGCAGACATGTAATTTAGTTTGAAAATAAAATAAATATAATATTTCAACTATATGATTTTTGTTAAAGCCAATGTCCAAAAAACCCCAAAACTTTATAAATTTGATTAAAGTAACTAAATGGTTTCTTCAAGTTCTCCTATATTCACCTCACAAACTCAGCTTTGTGCACTCCATGCAAGGTCTAGAACATTAGAGGAAAATTAAATAAGTGAAAAACAAGCATAAAAATCTATGTGGTTAATCCTAAATTCTTTTTCATTAACAGGATTAATATATTTGTTATTTATCTTCATCTCTTGTAAGCTACATCCTTTCCCCAAGTTTTTATCAGCCTTTACAGCTGTAAGTTATGTAGGGCAGGGACAGTCTCTATCTAATCTTCCACAGCATTCAAGACACAGTATTTCAGATTCATTCTTTCTCGCATTTATCCTTCACATATAAATCTAGAAGACTTAGACGATGATGGGCTAGGAGGAAATTCTGGATGAAATAAGTATACCCAGTTTGAAAGACAAAAAAAAAAAAAAAGTAGAACCACCGAAGAATTTGCTACAGGAAAGATCCTCAGTACTAGAAGTGCCTTTAAAAAAAACCCAAACCAAACCCAGCAAAAATAAAAGGGGAGGATCCTTCTCAAAGACTCAGAGTTAAAAGTCCATGACTGTAAAACTTCTTGCTCAGACATATCCAAGATTCTAAAAACACTTCTGCACTTAACTGCTTCAAGAATTTCTACTTTCTGATTATCATCTCCTGATAAAACCATGACACATTATTTAATGTTGACCTCACGATTCTCAAGAGAAGATGCAATCTGTAGAACAATTTGTATCACGGACAGAGTAGGATTTATAGGCAGGTGTGGATGTCCAAAGCTTAGTTCTACCTGGTACATTGCCTGCAGTCAGCAATTATGTCCTAGAGCATGGGCAACGGCCTATCATAGAATATTGTCAACGTCTCTACCCAAACACTTAAGACAAATAATCTCGGGCGATTTCAAATTAAAAGCTTGTAAAATATGTAACCTCTCCTAGTTTTTGCAATTAATAGGGTATGTCTGCAATTAGCCTGCCTTACAGAATGCTACACTGTTGTCATTAAAAGATGTTTTGTGAAAGTGCTGCTGTTATTATGGAGGCTCAAGAGACCAATCCCTCCTAGAGGGCAAACAGTGGACTAGTAGAAAACAACAGCCATAAATCACGTTGTCAGCTAGCAGAGAGAACAGAAGTGAAACACAGGCACATGAAGGCCATTCACTGTAAACACACCGCAGCAGAATCCTAGTCAGGATTTACTGAACCTGTAATTAATTAAAGTTTCCTTCAAGCTAAATTTTTAATAAACAAGGATTTGTGCTGACAATGAAGAAATCAAACACCATGGTTTTATCAACTCGCACCACAACACTTATTAACTTACATTTTACTGCACTGGGTACTTTTCTCAGAGGTTGCCTTTGGTTTAGTTGCGGCTTTTGGAATAATTTTAAATATTTAAAAATATGACAACAGATTTAATACTGAATACACACCATTTTGAGACTGTGGCATTTCAGAATTTTTGCTATTTTTATCATGTATTCTATAATTGTGAATTCCTGTTCGGTCACATTCAGGCATTATATTTTAAAAAAATTTTATTATTTTTGTGCCTCAGGAAATACACTTCAATGAAATAATTCAGGGCATGCACTTTTAAACTAAAAATAAACTACAAATAAATAAATAAACAGCTTAAGAGAGACAATTCCTACTAATGCCAAAAGATTACACAGCAGTTATCTAGCTTTGAAACGCTGAACTCTGGCCTTTAAAGTATGCTAACGACAGAGGAACATGTGAGCAGATCGACTAATCCTAATCTTGTAGCTCTGTTCAGCACAGTACTTCAGGCTTTTACAATTTAAGGACAGTATCTTCTTCTAACTTAGGGTGATAAGTTGTTTGTGTTGCCTTATCTTCACAGGGACACACGCAATGTACAAAGACTGGAAGATTTTTGGCAAGCATAACTTCTTAAGGCTAAAATGTTTATGATTTATAAGGACACACCTCTTAGCAAGTGGCTTTTTTGACTGATGCTTATGGAAATAAGGTTTATCTTTTTTAGCATAAAGTAGTCTTTTAAAAAAATATAAGAAGACCTGAATTCTTCTATAATGCTGTGTATTAAAAATGATAATTTTCTTAAACAGAAATGTGTATGTTAAGACTCAGGCGTGTACGTTAAAGAACTAGTGATAACTACAGCGTTCTCTAAACACTCAGATACTTCTAAGCAAGTGTGAACTTAGAGAAGACAATGCCTAGTCACTTACACAACCATGTATCACTTGTGAATCAAAAATGCATTCTTAGCAGCTTTATCACTTCTCATAAACAACTATTAAGCCCAGAGATCCATAAATTCAACCTATAAAACCTCTTTATTATTTCCCTGCCCCCAACAAAACAATCTAAATGGCACCACGAAGAGGCTTCAAAAGAACACATTACAATGTTTAATAATGTAAAAGTTGCAATAAAAAGAGCTAAAGCACTTACTATGTATTTACCAAGAATGCTACTTCTTGTAGCCTAATACTAAGTTTATCTGGGTTTGGTCCTTACTCAGAAATAGAGCCTTTGGCTACAGCAGAGGTTCCACATGCAGTCACATCAAAAAAGCGTAACCCTCTGCAGCTTATTTTCTCTACATGTATACTCTGCTGTGAAGGTAGGTCTAAAATTTTCAGTTTTCAAAGTCATCTTCAAAAAGCGATCCTATGGTATCCAAATGCCTTAATTTGAAGTTGTTGATTAGGCAGTTGTGGGAGGACAGGAGGAAGGTGAAGTCCTGAAAACCTGACTGTTTCTGCAGATGCAAAACTTTGAGCCAGTCTGTCAGGTACATTAATTAACAAATATCCCAAAATAAGCACACACAATTTAATTTAGGAAGACATGCAAGCATGTTATTGAGGTCAACAGACTTTCAGGGCTTGAAAACATACCAAGTTAATTGAACAACAGGAAGCTATGAGCACATTAGAGCGTGCTATTCCTTTTTTGCCATGTACTGCAACTGCATCAATTACCTCAGAATACATTTAATCAAGAGCAATTAAGCACCATATCATTTTAATGTTATTACAAGAAATTCAATAAATATTTAAAGAGAAATTTAAAAATTCTTTGCTGAATCCTGAAAATCCACTTAAGCATCTCAAATATGAGGCCAAGGGAAATCACAAGTGTATGTTTTCCTTGTTTTGTTCTTGCAAGGTACCAAGGATTGAAACTTCTGACAAGTTAGGCTTCTCAACTTACAATGTGTGTTTGTATTCCATTTCTTAAGATACTGGCCAAGAAAATTAAGACAGAAGAAGTACTGCTTGGCAGAAAGAAAATCAACAAAGTAACATTGTCATTAAAGGAAATGAGACTAGGTGATGTCTCCACTGACCAACTGAAAAGAAACTGCCTGTGCAAGCAAAATGTATTACATATCAGATCAATGCAAACTGATGCACAGAAGCGTGAGGAAAGAATTTGCCAGTACTAGAAGCACATATCTGGTACACAAGCAGTCTAGTCATCAACTCCTAACACGGACTAAAGTAAAAGCAAATCTCAAGCGAGAAATCTGCTACTATGTTTAACTTGTTTATGTAACACAAACCTGTATGATAACATTAAATTCAACCCCTTTTTGTCCAGCTTCCTAACACATCTATACAAGGCAGTGAACATTCTGTTGTTATAAAACAAACATAGAAAGAGCACAAGCTTGCACAGAAACATTCAGGAACAGAGGATTTTTTTTTTTGTTAGCCCTCCTCCTTCCCCCCAAAAATAGAGAGAAGTTTCTGGAATTACAAAATAGATGTCAACCATTACCTTCCTGTTGGTGTAAGAACCAGTTTCATGAAGAACAGCGACCCTAAATGGAGGCCACCAAGTGTGGAACTCTTTTACCCACTGATGCATGACAGTAGTTGGACAAACTATAACTGTTGGACCCAATCCCTGGTACCTAAAACAAAATATTCAAGAAAAACCCTTTAAATTCAAAATAAATATATTCAGTGGCTCATTAAAACATACACATATTAAAATAACACACTTCATAGTTCAAGTGGAATATATGAGAGCTATGGAAATTAATTGGCACTTTCTTGTTCTAGAAGTCTGTTTTTTAGAGGAGGATGAAAGGGGTACTGCTATAAGAATTTATGCACTGAACAGTTAATGGATGCATCCATCAAGGTATAAACACAAATAGAAAAGCTCCAAACAATAAGGCATAAGGGAACTTCCTCTTGTGGTAATACAAATCAGGTTTGGGTGACTGCTGTTTCTGTAAGAGAAAAGAAACCATTAACAAACAACTATTTTATTACTTCTATTAAAAAGAACGTGTAGCTAGAATTTTACAAATGGACTTATGCACAGGTGTTCTGCTTCATGTTGGTAATATACTGTACTATTATCACCATAATTTACAGATAAGACGAAGACTATAAAGCAGAATATATTATCCATGGAAATTGAAGTCTGAGCTGGGCTTAAACTGTCTCATAAGTTTCTTTTTCACAGTCATACGACTGTTTCTAGGAATTACTGGAGACATTTGAAACAAAGTCTTTCTGTGTATCAACTTCAGAGCTACTCCTAAGGTCGAAAAAATCTCTCTCACAACGGCCAAACAAGAAATATTATCATCAAAAATATCAACAACTGTACAGGAAATATACTAAGGAGTGGTTACTAGTAGTTATTTTTCAAATCAGAACAAAATGACTTTGCAAACAAAGGTAATAGTTACAGTTACCACATTCTGATCTGTGTCTGGCTATGTACTATTCAAATGGTAACAAACAAACAATTAAAAAAATCACAGTATACATTCAAGATCACACGCATGTAGTAATAAAGAAGGATTTTCCAGACAGCAATACTCTGCTTTAAAAAGAAATAAACCTGTTAATGTCTTCTGAGACCGTTGATATTAAGAAATAATATTCTTTATTAAAAGCTTATACATATGCAGAATAACAACCTCAATGTTGCTTATCTCTTTCATTATCAAAAAGTATTATATAATCACATTACATAGTCTAATTAAAAAAAAATCCCAGCAATCCAAGGGGAAGTTAGAAGTTGGAGATGCAAAAAATAGCTTCAATTAAGCTATGAATCCAAATAACTACGGCTACTACTCTTAGAAAAAAATCTAGAGCAAAAAAAGCCAACTACACTTAAGAATATCTATAGGAAAATTCAACTTTCCCAGAACATTTAGCTTCTCATTTTCCATTGCTAGCAACAAATTGTGTCTGTCTGGCCTGTATCAAACAAGATCACATGCTGGGTTTATCAATTTTATTTATTTATTCATTATCCTCAGCTTACACAAAGAGTTCACGCTTCCTTTGATCAACTCTCGGAAAATCCACGCCCCCTCCACTCAGTTGCGTGAAATCTCTGCACCTAGTCTGGCTCTAGCCACCTTTCACCTGCTGACATTTTCTTTTCAAGAGATTTTATTTATTATATAAGAGTCATTTAACTTCTTCCATTCTGTGCTGTTTCACAAAACCAAACCAACCGTGCACTTCTGCTTGCTATGCCCAAGAGGCATCCTTCGCTCTCCTTACCACTGCAACAGATTTGCTCTGCTGCCCATCCAACTTATATTTGTTTTCCTTGAACAAAGGTGACACAAATAAGATTCCAAATCAAATTCTTATCAGTGCTTTGTACCAGGATACTAACAGTGCCCTGTTCCTACTCCAAAATATATTGTCATAACATATTCTGTTCCTTTTTCATAGTTGCACTATACTAATAGCTTATGGCCAGTATCACATATAACTGATATAATCCAAATCTCTTTCTTCTGTTGTTTCCGGTTTGTAGAACTCAAATTCACAAAAAGCATCCTTTATTAGTTCTTATTTAACTGTGTGATTAGAATTGCAAATAAGATCTGTTCCTGCAACTTAGCACCAAGAGAAATGAAGCTGTATTCATACTATATCATACTATAATTTTTAAGTACTCAAGAAAGCAGCAAAGGAAAATACGTTCCATTATACGCAACTCTGTTGCCAAGCACTGGCAAATCATGCCTTCAAGATGAAACTGCAATGATAACTAAATTCTAGCAATATAGAATCACAGAATCACAGAATGTTCGGGGTTGGAAGGGACCTCTGAAGATCATCTAGTCCAACCTTCATCCCAGCATACCTAACCACTACACCATAGCGTCAAGTGCTAGATCTACTTTTTTTTTAAACACCTCCAGGGTTGGTGACTCCACCACCTCCCTGGGCAGCCTGTTCCAGTGCCTCACCACTCGTTCAGTAAAGAACTTCCTCCGAATATCCAATCTAAACTCACCCTGACACAACAAATTTTCTGAGGCAATGGATTTTTATTTTTGAAAGCACCATGGAAATTAATCTCTCTGCCATTCATAGTAGAGCTTGAGCCTTAATATTTAATACATATGATTCTATCTCAGCATCATGAAGAGCACAGATAAGTAAATAATCAGCATATAAACTTAATGGAAGAGTTTCTCATTTGATCTCTCACATAAATGAAGCAAAGTCTGTACTGAAAGGTAATATATTTAGTAAGCAAAATAACACATTTGAAAACAAGCGAAGTTGTAGATGCTTAAGCCCTTCAACAGGTGGCAACAACAAATTTCAACCTGGTACAGAATCGAAACAGGTTACTTGAAATTTGCTGCTACTTTTTTTTTTCTTTTCTTGTGAAAGGACCATCAGTCTGAGGGCTGCTGCTTGCTCCATCTCAGCTTGCCTAACAAAAGGTCTTTCTCCCTCTATAAATCCTGCTTCCCTCATATCCTTACACCACTAGAGCTGCAACACGTCTACTGATACCTCACATAACGCCTTTCCCCAGCTGTATGGCTCAGTGACTTAAAATTGAGTCAACATTTTTAGTTACACTCCATGTTACAAGTAGTTCCTTACTTCTACTATTCTTCATGATCCTTCAAGATCAGAAAAATACTGTAATCAGAAGTAGTTTACAAAAGAAAAGTTTCTATTCACCTTAAAGAAATGCAAAAATTTGCACTGATAGACAATAAAGCTGAATATACTGAACATCTCTAAAAGTGACCCTATTGTCTTGATACTCAAGTGTCTCCAAATACAACAAATTTTGCAATTCTGCACAGGAATGACAGTTTTATTTCCATTTTGCAGAAGGCTGACTGAGGCTGGGAAAATCCCACAGTGCCAGGTTCGTCCAGCAGCACACCAGCTCCATCTACACCCCACGGTAATGACGTACGAGCTGGGCTGGCAGACATTTAACCGATGCTGACAGGACAACTACGTCCACTCGGCATGCCGGCTTCTCAGTCACACTGAGCAGGAGGTCTTCTGCTCACTGGACTTCAGGGCCTTCAGACAGAAGCTAGCTAGCCCCTGCTACTGCCCTCTTGTTCAGAGTGCAGATGGGAAACATACTTGACTATGCTAAAATCAAGTTGTTCAGACCCTCTGCCTTACAGCATACAGGCAAAATCAGAGCGAGTTTCATGAAAAAACCCCAAACCTTGTTTCCTCCCATGGAATCACTACCACAATGGACTTAAATGACAAGCACCAGCCAAAAAATGAAACTGAACACATTATCTTAACATGCAGAAAGAATGCTACAATGTAAGCGTGCAATTATATTCTGGCCTCTTCAAAGTTTTATTACAGTTTCAGTGCAGTATCTTGGGTCTTAAGCTGTAATTGTGTAACTATGTTAAGTGACAGTCCTGAAGGATTTCCATCAACTCAATAGTCCTTCAACCAGGGCAGGGAATATACATACACAAAATAATTTGCACAGCAGCATCCTTAAATCAGGCAGTCATATCAAAGTAAATCAACTGTTCTAAGTGATGGGGGAACCTGAAGTTTTTCATATAAAGGCTACAATAGGAAGCAACTGGAGAAAAGACAGTAATATTTTCTCTTCAAAGTTCATGTACATGCTGAACATAATTTAAATATGTCTCTACATAAGGTCAATTATTTTTGTTTAATATAGTACTATGAAATTTGCTTAATTACATGTAGCAATTTACATCAGGTGAACAGGCCAACAAAACTAGAAAAATCAAATATTCTTCATGCATGCATTTGTAAATCCAAGGACACCGACGAGTATCTTTTCCGGTAATTTCACCTATGAAGAAGGAATTTTAAAGCATTGTTCAACAACGTTAAAGCATAGAAAACCTTGCAAGCAAGGCCAGGCACACTAACATAATTCTGAAAAGTAACAACAGCAAAGAAAAAAAAAGCAGATGGAAACTCCTCCATCTAAGTTACTGCTTTTGCTCTTACTACTAATTTTTTGGTGTGGATAATTCCCTGCCGATTAGAAACTCTAACCTGCACTGCAATCAGCTTGCTACTTCCTGTAAAACATTTACCTGGTGGCTTGCCAGAACAAATATTTTAATGTAAAATTTAATAAATGGAACTAAAGGTATTACATCCAATTTAAAATTCCATATTGTGTAAACTATTGATATTAATGTAATTGAGTTGGTAAACAATCCATTTGTGGAAGCTAACCTTAGACACTGTATTGACCCAAAATATCTAGTGCGGCTCATGTGCAAAATGAAGCATCGATGCCTGGAATTCATTAAAAGTGTTACATGTTTAATTTTTCCTGCCCTACAGCTCCATCGTCTCGTAAAATTTTTCCTTTGATGTCCCCCACTAAAAGAATTAAAGGAATATTGTAATTGAAATGTCATTAATAATTCACAGGACCCTCCTCCACCAGCAATACATCTGATGAAATATTAATTGAGCTCCACAGACTGACAGTCTGCAGAGGAGCACTTGCCTGTAATTTGAACCACGAGTCCTGAGCTTGCTGTAGCTCAGACCTGCCAAGAAGGCAATTATCTGGATGGTCTTGCCCAATCCCATCTCATCTCCCAGAATTCCTCCTGCCTGCTGGCAGTGCAATTCCCAGAGCCACCTAACACCTGTCTGCTGGTACCTAAAACAAGGAAAAAGAAGATGGCAAATGTTTGATAATACAGATCGTAACAGAAAGTACTCATGAATTAATCATTTGGCAAGGTTCTCATACCAGTTACAGTAACATGCTGGATGTATGTTTTACATGAGTGCTGTATTTACTAGGTCATACATTTTTGATGCATTCAGACATTACATGTGACTTTCATTCTTTATGCAACGCTAAAACATTTCTAATTAAACTGATAGTCATGGTAATTAGGGGGTATTTTATTTCATGTATATTTTAAGTGTTAAAAGCAACTTGGAAAGCCACTCTAACAACGCATTATCTGTTCAGAAAGCACGCACGTAATGGTCTAGTAAGTTATTTTATTTGGAACATATACCTTGAACTGAAGGAAAAGCTTGACTTGTAAGAGGTACTGACTTTACACTGACTGTGAAAACTGATCACATCTGCCAAAGCATGTTTTGTTTTTACATAAATTCATTTAATAACATTTAGTCTCTTTCAATTAAAAAAAAAGCCAACAAGGCAAAATGTTTTGAAAGGCAGATATCCCAGTCGATGCGATTCAGCAAAATGTTATTACAAGAGAGTACAGACCAATTTCTCCTCCCAGTCATTCATTCAAAATTGTATAAGCAACAATGCAAAAATACAGTCCAGTTAAGAGAAGTAAGCTAGAAAGCAAGATTTACTACAATGGCAAGCTAAAAAGGTGGAGGTAGGATGCTGGACTGAGAATCACTTTAGCATTTTTTTTTATATGATATGAAATGGTGAGACTAGTAGGAAAAGGACACCATGCGTGTGGCTTAATGTGAAAACAGAACAGAAAGAAATGAAGAAACAGATTATTCAAATTACAATTAAAAAAGGAAAAAGAAATACACATGTCAGCACTTTTGTGTCTTGTAACTTATTGTAAAACAAGGATTGTTCATTCTAGGGCATTGTCTTGTGTGGATTTCAAAATGGCTTCATTCTTCAAATATATAATATTTAAGACTACTGACTGCTAATGACATGTCTACAAAGTACTATTAAAACCCATTTATAACGAGTTCTGTGTGGATTTAGAGAATGCTAAGCGGAGACAAACAAACAGCTTGAGTAGTTAGAAAAATCTGATAAAAAAATGAACTAATAATTCGGACATCATACTACCTGCTGGTGTCTCAAATGCATTATACCAAGATGCCCTTAAAACTCTCCTTTTATCAGAAATTAATTCACCTTATAAACACAGCAATCTAAAAACAAGTATGAAATGCCTTGCAGGATTAGCTATAATTGGGTTAAGATGCTGCCATTACTGCATTTTATGGAGACAAAACATTTTCTGATGGAAAAATTAAAGAACTGGAGAAAACCCTAATTCCAGGCAGAAGCTGCTCCCCCAGACTCCTGTCCAGCATGTCACTTCAGAAGATAACCACTCAAGAACCTCTTTATAGTAATTCTACACTATTTCTTAGGATTACAGACAGTGCTCAAAAGCTAGCTGCATTTATAAGCATCTTTATCCCTCTTCCCCCTTATCCTGAGAAAGTTTTACAGTAGAGAATTAAGTTTGTGAAAAATCCTGCTCCAAAGTTTTTTCAGAAGATGAAAACAATCATAGAAACACACAATAATTTCAACTACGTAAAAGCTAAAGCATCTCCTTCCATATTTTTTATGATTATATGGAGCAATAATCAATTTTTTTTAATATTTTGCATTAACTTCAGTATTTTCGCCTGTTTTTTTAATGCTTTTTTCCCCTCCAAAAATACTGTAGAAATAAAATGAAAATGTTGCCTGCTCTTCCAAAATAGTTATGTTTGGACTGTATTTCACACGAGCAATCATGCTGCGATGCATCCTTCAGAATTCACCACAGTAACTAGCAGAGTTGAGCTGCATTGCTGCTGAGACAAAATTGCATTTCAGATGTTATCAGGGAAATCACACACAGAAAGCAAATAACGAAGAAACCTGGTTTCTTGTTTATACAGACAGTATTCTCTCACTTTAAGTGCAGACAGTGTAAGGCAAGGTTTATAAGTCAGTCTTGCTTACTGTGTTTGGTTTTGTTCCACAGCAGCACCAGCTTTATCTCTTGCTGAATGTTCCTCAAAGCAGACAAGCATATAGAGAATCACAGAATTGTAAGGGCTGGAAAAGACCTCTGAGATAGAGTCCAACTGTCAACTCAAGACCACCACAACCACTAAACCATGTCCCAAGTGCCACATAGGTTTTGTGAACACCTCTAGGGATGGTGACTCCACCACTTCCACGGGCAGCCTGTTCCAATGCCTCACCACTCTTTCAATAAAGAAGTTTTTCCTAATACCCAATCTAAACCTCCCTGGGCACAACTGGAGACCATTTCCTCTCGTCCTATCGCTTGGGAGGAGAGATCAAAACCCACCTGACTGCAGATTATCGACTTTAATAGGCTTACTGAAGAATGAATTTAATCTACTGCTTCTAGTGTGAGCAAGTTTCTTTGCAATTCAACAATGCAGGAAGATCACCCACACTACACTGCCATATACCTCCTTGGGTCAATAACAGTCCCACGCTTTGTACTACACTTGCTCAGAACTCAAGTTTAATGCCTATTGACTATAGGCCTTCCTACATCAGGGATTTCAGCACTTCAGTTACAAGTCAGACAAATCACTCAACTCAATTGATCGTTGTAACCACTTAAGAAGTTTTACCAACTGACTCATGCTTGCAGGGATACCCTTCATTAGAGAAGCTGGTATCTCTAAGATTAATTTTTAGCTGTCTGCTTTATTTCATTTCCCTTTGGGTTGCTCAGACCACACATCCGTTCTCAGGATGATTACTTCCGCAGTACCTTCGCACAAACAGCTGGAGACCACATATTGGCTGTGCACGGCCCTGGCAACCAAGTCATTAATTCAGTTCCATTTCAGAGCTAGTGCTTTCCTTCTGAGGAACTGCAGGAGAACAGCAGTCATTTCCTTGAGGTTAAGACTAAGCGATCCTGTTGGAAGGGATTCCATGCATGCCTGTCATAAAGCAGAGCTTTCTACTACAGTAATTATAAGATTTTTAGAGAGTTAGCTTTTGAAAGAGAAGATGTTTTTACTGCACTGTGAAATGTTTCCAATGAAAATGAATACAGGTCTATTATGCATGAAAGTTAAGGGAAATACTATGGATGATGTTAACTTGTTAGCTGCTAGCTTGTTTGGGCTGCCTTTTGTAAAGAGCTTTTTGAGATGCACTTGGAAGTGTCACTGGGTACCATGCTCTCAAAAAACTGAAACAGAAAGGCATCACTTAAAATGGGCAAGCCAACATTAAAGAACTAAAGAATGAGTTGTAGAGTGTTTTCCACCTATAAAGGACTTAAGAATGTACTCTATTTTAAAATTTTACTGCACAAAATGTTCAAGACTTTTATAATATGAATTGTAAGTAGTTACTCTGAGTAGACTTGGAGTAGTTAAAAAGAAGAAAGTTGTCTGTATGTTTTACTGGTAGAAAATTTTACTCATTTCACTCAATTACAGAAAAATCTACATTTTTTGTTTTCATTTATCACAAGTTGCTAACATACTTTATCTTTCAAAGTAAAGTTATTCTATGGCTCCAAACGAGTTAAAAACAAGCGCTTATCAATAAAATAAAGCATTTATAAAAATAGACAAGGGCTTCTCAATTCATAGTTTATGTAATATGCATTTACAATATTCACATCAGGCAGTTATTATCTATATTTTCATGTAATTGCATTTTCTGCCTGTAATAAATTAGCTTCTTTGAGGCTTGGTTCTGTAGCCTTCTTAGAAGACATAATCCTACAGCAACTACCAAAGTAAAAGTTGAAGCATCATTCACTTAAATAAAAGTTACAACAAAGGACATCCAGAAATCACAATTACTATTACTACTAATATTATTAATAGTATACAGTGGCATAATACTAAAATAAAAGGACACAATACATACTTAAAAAGCTTTTTGAAGAGAAATCCTGGTACTTTGAAACCCTCTTCAAATTCAGTGTCACTTTCTTCCGAAAGTTCCTCAGATGTTTGATGTTCTTTGTCTTTCATACGTTCTTTTTGCCACTTCCTACAGTGACACAAAGAGTAAACATTCAATTATTGCATAGAAAAGGTACTATATGAAAACTACACTAAATTTTCAATCACTAAAAACCCAACAAAAATGCGCTCTCTAATGTCATGATTGATGGAGAAGGACTTAACAGGATTCAACAGCTTTCCAGTCCACCTCCACTTTCTGAGTGACAGACATCACAGGTGCGTGAATAATCCATTTCCCTCCTGGTAACATTTTACCATTTACCCACTACACAAACTGCTTATTGTTAGCTTAGGTTGCCCCAGTAGCAGCAAAACCAAACCAGCCCCAAAATACAAAAAAGGCAAAGGCAGGTTAATGGATCAGCAGAGTTCTGAAGAATAAAAAGCACCCCGCCTTCCCACCAAAACAATCCATGCTCTAGGAAAAAGGATTTCTGAACTATCTTAAAACATGAAGAAATTCACATTTTCCTCTTTTCAATTTTTTTAAAGTTATTTATTCTGTTCTTTCTGTAAAGTTGTGCACTGGTTTTAAGCATTCAAAGATAAAACTGCATCTAGAGGTTGTAATGAAAACTGTATTTTTTTTCCTAGTCTTCCTATGCACAATCCAGTGCACTTCAAGCATTTGGGCTGAGCACTTTATGTTTTCAAAGCTCCTAGCCCAATTTTATCCATATCAAGAAAAAGAAGCATAATCATTAAAATATTGATTAATTTCTGGTCCAAAGTTGACAGTATCATCAGCTATGGAAACATAACCTAAACAGTTAAATTATCTTGATTTATACCTTGATCTAACTAGCCAATAGGAGAGAGATACAAGTCACCACTAAAATTTTTCTCAAGCAACTGCCCATAAGACAGTTACTACCTCTGACATTTTGCTCTTCCAACCTTGCAAACAAAGCAGAAAACACTATAAAAAAGTCTCAAGTGTTGCTCTGAGTCTTTAAGACTTGAGCCACGCTGCTGTGGAGTTCAGTCATGTGTTCAGACACAGTGTCACACACAGTGCCGCAACTCCTTCCAGCCTGAGGTGAGAAGTGCCTTCTCCATTACAAAAAAATCCTGCCAGCTAAAAATATTTAAAATCAAATTTGATTCATGTTTTCTATCTTGAAGACATTAGTGAACAAAAAAAAAATCCCACAGAACAAACAGGCAAAGGAGGTCTAGTGTTCCCCTTTTATTTTTTTTTTAACTACATAAGCAGTTCTGTGGACAATTAAATCAATGATGCCTGTCTTCTGTAAAAGACACTACCCTGCATTTTCTGGTATGAAATACAAAGAAAATACTAATAGACCCTTCTTCCTCTTAGGTCATTCAAAATCATCTTCCATGGGATCTGCAAACTCATAACAAGACTTAAGCTCAAGCTGTGCTTTTTTCCATCAGCCGCATTTAACAGAGTTTCTCTGACCACTTACCACAGTGAAACTTGTTGCAATTTCCACTTAAAGGTTTCCCTCTGTGTGGAAAATTTGTTTAAAAAACTTGGGTTTCTCAAGGCAAGAAAACAGAAAGCAAGAGAACAGAAAAGCTGTTCAACACTTCATATACAAACAACAGAATCATATACCCTTTCCCATGAAAGACAAGTAATTATGGTAGGTTTCCAGCTCTGCACCATTATCTTTTGACAAAATACAGTCTGCCTTTATGGAATCAGCCAGAATCACAGAACTGTGGTACTGTTTTATTAAAGGAAAATAAACACCACCATCTTCAAATATATCCAAGTTATAACAAATGCCCATATCAACTGCAGTGAAAAACTAAGACAACATAGGTTTAGAGAGCCAGCTCCACTGGAATATATTTTCATCTCTGAAGTTGGAAGTCTTCACAAGCAAAAATCACAGTGGAGAGAAAAAGCAGCATATGCAGGGGAAAAAAAAAAACCGAGATGGACAAAACATCATCTTTTTTCTGTTTAAACACTGCTTAGATGCTAATCTTTACTATTGGATTGTTTCTATTTCATTACAGGAAATCACACACCAAGTTAAAGAACCTGCTAAAACTATATAAAGTGTCATGGTTTTCCCCACAGGCAAGAAGGGGACTCTCTACCTTAGACTAGCAGCCTGTTAAATGCTTGATTTAGGAAAGTAACACCCATGCTCTGGAGCCAACCAAACAGTTATGATACATATTAGAGGCACAGCATAAAAAAACAATTTGTTTTTGTTCCGTACTACAATGTTGTGCTATCAGGCAGAGATTGTCAATTATTCTTCTGACTTCCAGAAAAAGTTCAACTATTCAAACTGACAAATTCTGACAGTCATTGTTTCAGACTGTGTCATTATCAGAACTGAGACATGTCAGAACTTTACTATTTTACCTGACTGAGTTATGACAAGAAGCAAACCAAGGAAGAAAACTCCTACATTCCACACTAAAACCAAGACAATTGTGGACAACAAAGCATTCAAAGTGACAGTCAAGTAAAAAAAAATCCATATTAAACTCAAGCAGGGCCATCATTTGCACAAGAATTTGCTTCTAACTATATTCCCATGTTAACCACGACTAGCCAACACTGGAGTTTCAGTCTCCCCTGGGAAGGAACAGATTGCCCTCTAGTGTACATTAGAAAAAGTGATCCAGAAACAACCAAGAAGAAATGTTTCTGACAGTAGCTTGTGGGCTGTCCAGGAATTTAGGCACTTCACGGTAATAGAATCACTGTTTTTTCTGCAAGTGTGATCAGTGTTGGGATTTCTCTTAAAATTATTAGATACCTAGAAAATATGTATGTCTGCAATTTAAACTAATGAATCTTGTACTTATTTTTCCTAAAGGAAAGTTTATTTTATGCATACTGTATCTCTTACTTTACTCAAGTGCACAACTATACATGCTGTAGTATTGAAGGCTTTCAAAGGTCTTGATTTTTTTTTTTTCCCCTCAACTACCAGTTTAAAGAAAAAGCATCAATTTGTTGTTACCATTAACAACTTGCAAAGTTTGAAGAAGCTATTCAGTTTTTGAAAGGCTGTGAACTTAATGTTTATCATTGTAGATATTCTACACTAGCATTTCATTATTTGCATTACAAATGTGTAAATATCTAACCGCCTGAAACACTGGGAGGACAAGCACTATTTGCTAGACCATGTAAGTCAGTTAGTCAGTCTGATCTCATACCTTTCCCAGAAGTCAAACTTTGGAGGGAGAAACAGTGGTAGCTCCTATTTCACTTCTATGAGTACTTAACTACACAGTAATACACTGACTATTTGGGTCAATATGTTCCGTACGCATGTCAGTTAAACATCAACTGTATGCCCAAACAATCAGAAAATACATGTTTTACTATATTGCCAAGGTCTCTGGAAAATAAAATCAGGACCTCTGAGAAATCTATGTTACGCTGTCCACGGTCACTGACATAAAGACAATTTTACCCTGAAAGTGCAGTATGAAAGCTATATATCATACAATTACATCTTTCTTAATATAAGAACGTATTCAGATACAATGCTCATTTCTCACTTATTGCACTACCCTAGAAAGAAATTCTGCATCCAAAACAGTAATGAGCACAATTTGATTTTTTTTTAAAAAAAAAAAAAAACAACCAAAAAACCAGTCAGGAATCAAGCTGAGTGTTTAATACAGTTTACATTTATGAAGCACAATATATTTTTTTTAATACAGCTAAGAATCCCTTACAGATTATTCAAATTTGCTAAATTGACACATTCAGCATTACGTTTCTGATCTCTTCATGGTCTATATGGGTAGATTTAATTGGTAGGTCCTAATGGATGAAATACATGCAGTTAGCATCACAAGTCTCCGTAAGTAAATTAAGACTGATGTAGACAATTGCCCATTTGAGCTTAAGAATGAAAGGTGTAATCAGTGAGTGAGTCAAAATACATCTTCATATGTGTCCCGGCTTTGTCATTTTAAAGAGCATTTTAGGATGCTCTAAGAACATATCTTTCAGGAAAGGTAATATTTAATCCTTTTTTTAATTTATAAAACCCCGAAACATAAAGAGATTCAATGATTCAGGTACTTCAAAGAGACCTAGTACATGAAACTGATCTGAGAAAAACAACTTATTTTAAAGTGAATTTTATTTTTTGGTTTGATTCTTTGTGTCAACTCCTTTGTGCATGGGTAGCCACAACTTCCAGCTACTCAGCTGCTTGGATGTCACTTGGGAGACATGGAAAGAGGCAGCTTACCTAGCCTTACCTCTGAGCCCTTGACAGCAATTGAAGAATTCAAAAACTGTACTTCACAAACTACACAGGAAAACACAGATATACCACTTATCTCCCATAACACATAATTCCTTCTTTGAAGCAGCAGGCAGGTACATACTGACAATTGCTATGGGACCGTAAGACTATAAATTGTTTTGACATCAAGTGATTATCATATGCAGGTGTTGTATTAGTGATGTCAATAACGTAACACATTAACTATGTATATTATAAGCAGCAAAAATTACTGGATTATATTTATGATTTTCATTGTAATACACACAGAAAGGAAAACTTTGATTAATATGCAAAAAAATCTTAGACTAAGTTGCAGTTTCCACATTTGCATAGTCCTGAAAATAATACAAGAAAACCATGTAGCAGTTTTTCTTGCTGAGAACAAAGAAAATATTTGTTTCCTATACATTTAATCTGCATACAAGGTTATTTTTATTTTGTGACCCTAAGTAAAGCAAGCTGAAAACAGGTGTATTTTCACCCATTCCACAGTCTTCAAAGAAACTGGCTCTGCCATGACCTGACCATTCCACCAGGCAGGAGGCAACAAGTTAAGATTCCACCAGTGCATGGTTTCAACACTTCTGGACCATGATGGTCATTACTGAGTACAGAATACATATCAATAACATACCTGTTGATGGGGATCAACTCAGACCTTCAGCACCATCCTAGGGACTGATTACCTAGTCTTCTGGATTAAGCCAGTATGCAGGACAGTTGGGAATGACAATGCGCTACTGTTCACTGAATCCTAAATTTACTTGCTTAACAG